ACTTGTGGTGGACAAAATGGCACTGGGGCAGGTTTTCTCCGAGTACTTCGGTTTTCCCTGCCAATCTTCATTCCACCAATTGCTCCACAATCACCCTCACCTATCATCTGGGGCTGGTACAATAGGCCAGAAGTGGCCGCAGTACAAGGGACTTAGTCCCACCCCACTAGCAATAAAGAAACCTTTCTACTTAAGTCCCTTTTAATATGTTTCCCCATGTATCTCACAGATTCTAGCTGGTTTATGTAAGGATTTCAGCTATAAGTGCCAACTTTAGGGGATAGAGAGTGTCACATGATCAGCGCAACGGATTACCACCGCCGTTAGTCTTGGTTTTGTACACCGGACTCGCTACTTTTCCATTCAAGTAGCTCCTCAGTTTTCCTCACGAGGCTGATTGCACCCCGTTCCAGACCCACTACTTCTCAGAAAATCAGGTAGCTCCGGGAATCGAACCCGTGACCTCTGAATCTGTAGCCAGGAACTCTGACCACTAGACCATAGAGACACTAACTTCGCCGACAAGCTGCAGTTGCTCGGTCGGTATAGTTCTCTTGTAGACTACAGGCCACGGAGGTATATAAGAGCGAACACATTTCTCGTTTCTCCATATATGTCGACGTATAGCCGATTTTAATATCCTAATACAGCAACAAAAATGAATAATTTGACTCATAAAGCTTCTCACTATGTACATGCCTCTAGTTCCTTCTGGCCTTAATTTCAATTTGAGGTGACCTGAATAAGGGTTATACAATGATAGGCAGGGCATGTAACAAATTTATTCGAAGATTTTGTTAGGGTAGAGTAAAGGAAATGGGGCACGCGGTAGCGTAGTTGGTTGAGGCACTATGCTACAAGAAGGAAGGTCGCCGGCTCAAGTCCCGATGAGGCATTGGATTTTTTTAAATTGGCCTAATCCTTCCAGCCGTACTATGGCCCTGAGGTCGACTCAGCCTCTAACAGAAATGAGTACCAGGAATTAATTAAATAATTTTCCTGGGGAGTAAAGCGCAGCCGGCCCGTAAGGCTGACAACCTTACCGCCATCTTCGATCCGATTGTCTAGATAATGTGGGACATTAACGTCTCACAACCCTATGGGTCTTCAAGGCCTGATACAGGAATAGCTTTTCTTTTTTTAGAGTGAAGGAAATAGACCACTTGTAAAATCTCGACATAGATGGGAAGATAAATGTAAAATGAATCTAGATGCTGTAGTTTGGACTGAATCCATCTGGCCCAATTTAGGGACCAGCGGTGGGCTCTTATGAGTACGGTAATGAACCTTCGGTTTCAATTAAATTCGAGGACTTTCTTGAACAGCTTAGCAGCTTCTCTTGAAGGACTCTGCTGCTTGGAATTGGTTATGTCGAGACGAAATAGCACCAGCGCCATGTCAGGATGTCGAGTGGCCTTTCACCAGTGATGTCAGTAGAGTCTGTCGGAAAGCGCCGCTTGCGGGAAGTGTCGCCACGATGCAGTGTACTCTGTGAATGCTCATCTCTGACAGAACGTGCTCGATGTCTGCAGCCCCTCGGAAACTGAGGGCGCCCACAAAGGATCCAGATTGCTTGGGGCCACTCAAAGTTGTCCCTAAATCAGTAAGATAAAGGCTGACTTTTCCCTGCGCTTAACTAATTAAGCACCTCCTCACCACGAAGAGGGCCAAGAATGATAGTTATACCCCTACTCCCCCATACGCCTTCATAGCAAGGTGCTCAGTTGCTTAGGAACTTAAGGATAGGGCAAGCTTTACCTTCGCCATACAACGGAGACTAATGGGGAGTGGAGGTATAGCTCCACCATTCTTGACCTCTCCACTAGATGGATGTGAGTTGTCAGCTTCACGCCCTGGCCATCTTACTCCCGGGTGAAGAGACCTAGGTAGCCAATAGGCTGTGGCCACACGCGCGCACAAAATGCGTCCGTTGTAACGAACGTCGTGACGTCTGTTGTAGAAATAAACGAGAGGCGAATGCTACGCTTTCTTCTGGCTCCATTGCAGACAAAAAAATACGCACCGCATTCTGTAACTGTGAGGTGTCCTCAGCAACGTCCGTCGTAAAGTACGTTCTTTCGATGGAAGGCTGGACACTATGAAATAGATAAAAAATCTTTTGTCCCTGGCCGTCCAGCCCATGATCCGTCTCTATACCAACTGAGCTATCCCTAAGTAAGCCGGGCTGCGTTACCGAAACCATTTTATGATCTTGGATGGATTGAACTGCAATACAGACTTGAGTTTGTAGTTTTGAATGCTTTGGAGTTGCGATAATAATCCAACGTTCTTTATTCTTATGGTTAGATTTATATTGTGACATGTAGAGCCGTTGCTAGGTAACGACTGCACATTAAGCAGCTATACAAGAGACACTGCTAAATAATGGCTCTGTAAACAACAGCCATTGCTGGGTATTGGCCGGAACAGACACGTACCCAACAGTCGGTCGTAACATAACTTACTTTTACTTGATTAGAAGAACGTCTTGAGACGGCTGAAGAGTAGGAGGTGAGACAGTCACCAGACGGTAAGAACATGAGCAAGGAAGCAGAGGACATTGTTGGGATCTGTCACCAGGCAACGACTGGTGAGGACATAGTAAACTAAGAAGGCTTTATTTGTGCTGAGGTTACAGTGATCTTTGGAGTGTGCAAATCACTGAGACTATCGCAGTTATTTCTAGTTACGTTCTGCAAGCGTTCAATAAATACAATTACCAATCCAAACCCCGTCTATAGTCACTCCACAAAATCAAATATTTATTTTGCTCATTTATGATTTACTTAAAGACACGGTCAATATATTGTGACATGCAGACCCATTTCCAAGAAGCAATTTGTAAACAGGCGGCAGTATAAACAGCCGTTGCTAGGAAACAGCTCTGTGAATAAGTTCTTTACCCGGCAACGATGGAATGCGCAATAATAGAACAGACGTTTTCTGTTCGGTGCGTCCAGACCGGCTCTGTGGCCTACTGGGCCTCTTATCGAAATGGTACCTGGCGCTCTTCCACCGGGGGTAAAGTGACCATAGCTTGAATATCTCCTCTTCCCCATACGTGTTAATTGCATATTGCTTAATCGCTGAATTAATTAAGTACAGGGGCTTCATATTACTTTACATAGGAAGAAAATGGGAATAATAGCTCTTGGTGACATCTATGTAGTGTCTCTGTGATTCTTTTGTATCTGAGGGCCGAATTACTCAGCAACCGAGTGTTACTTTTGGTCAAGTTGTGGATGGAAGAACTGTATCTCTGTGTTTAATGGTGAATTAGTTAATGGTCATTGTGTTTCTGAGTTGACAGCTGAAGAAAAAGACAGGCTATGTATTTCTGATGATGTTTGTTTTTATAGACAAACTTCGCCTACGTTTCCTCTAGATAGCAGCACCACTTATTACATATTGTTATTCTGTGAAATTTAGTATCTCAGTATATATATATTTGCTTTGCCAGAACTTTTCAAGTCACTGAGGTTATATATATATAATTTATAGAATTGTTTTCTAACAAGTTGTCCTTGAAATTTAAGCGGGACTTGTGCTACTTTTGCATACGTCTGCTCTTCATGTTTATGGAGGTCAGATAGTATACAGCGAAGTCTTCTCGGGTGACCAGTGATGTCAATATTGAGCTAGTATCCAGTGTTTTGGAGGAATTTATATCATGAGAGCTCCCTGATGATGGAGGCGGGGCGTGTCTCCGAAACGTCAGACTCGAACTCCGTATTCACACGGATTACTGTATACAGTCACAGTGAAAGCGTGAAATCTCACATGAAATATTGGTACGAAAGTGAAATGATGGTTTGGAACGTAACAAGAATTGGGAAACAAGAGAATTCATTTTGGATCTGAGGTTCTCATGGCGGCAACTGTGAAGAGTATCACATAGTTCGGAGAGACGTTTCGCAGAAACCTATCATCATTTTCAGCGTCAAAGATTCCTCCGAAACGTCGGACTCTCTCCGAACTACGCAGTGTTACAACCTAGAAGACCTGGTTCTTATAGCATGGCGTAGAATATTTTTTTACTTTACTTCTCTTGCAATGTTTACCATTTTTGGCCAAAAAAAAACGATATTACAGAATGGAATGAAAAGCAGTTTTAAAGGAGAAGACTAAAGTGGCTTCAAATCGTCCTCTTCAGGCGTTAGAGCTTCGAGTTACGTTCCTGCGTAATGTCTTAGCTCGATACGAAGGGGTGTAATTACACAAATGACGATATATATTTTTTTTATTTTAGTTTATTGCTCTATTCATTGAAGATGTACTTACACATCACACAGACTACGCACAAAGCATTTGAGCTACTTAAATACAGACACATGTATTCATGCTTATAGCTTCCAGTTTCAGGTGTTCACAGGAGCAAAATGTGACAATAGAATGGTTTCAGTATTCCAATAGAAACCGCCGGTAAGTTCGAAGATTGTAACTACAGCCTTCTGGGATGCGATGCAATGTAGTTTGGTAGATGTGTACCAAATTTTCGGAGAGGAATGTGCTGCCTTTATCTTCAACGTGTATGGTTGGAGCATGTAGCACGCATGGGAAAGAATAAAAATGTGTACATAATTTTAGTATGAAAAACCTCAAGGAAAGAGACCACTGGGGATACCTAGGCATAGATAGGAAGTGGTGTTTATATGGATCTTGAAGGAATAGGTTCGGAGATTGTGGATTGGATTCATCTGGTTATCGATAGGGACAAGGGGTGGGGTTTTTGAGCACGGTAATGGACTTACGGATTCTGTGAAAGATGAGGGGTACTGTTGGCGTTTGAATAGGGCCTCTGCTCCATGGAGTTCAAACCTGAACATGGAGGAGGCAGGTTCCTTCGAAACATTAGTTCATGTACACGAAACTACATATCCCAGAAGAAAGTAAACTTAATATTCGCCGCTGTGAAAACTTCAGATGTTAATATTTTCGAAATACTGAACCCATTTGTGCCCCTCGGACGTGAAGTCGGAACATTTCATAGTTCCTGATTAGTGAGTTGTGGGGGTGAGTTCTTCATATGACTTATGGAAGATGTTGACATCCTTGAAGTACATATTAGGTGTGTAGAACTCGTCGATTTGGATCTCGCGGTCCAGGGGGAATCCCATGGGCTTGTCATCGGGGTACTTGCGGCCATGACCGACACCACAGTAAGTGACTGATTTGTAGTCATAAGGTTCATTGTCGTGCTCATCTTGCTTGATGTACGGCGTCACTATGACGAACAGGGTGAAGGTCATTCCTCCCTTTTGGCCTTTTGGCAATAGCAGGTTCGCTGGGTAGCCGCATTTCTTGATGGTCTGGAAAAGGAGAAATATTTGTCACTACATTTTCAATACCTCTGTTCATATTTACATGTATAAAGGGTCACTGTAACGGCAAGACATAAAAAAGGTGAAGCTATCCCTGTAACAGGCTGTGGAGGCCCATGGGATTGTGAGACGTCAAGGATCCCATATTTTCTAGACAGTCGGCTCACAGATGGCAGTAAGGTTGTCAGCCTTACGTGCCGGTCGCCCTTTAGCCCCAGGAAGATTCCTGGTACTCATTTCTGTTAGAGGCTGAGTCGACCCCAGGGCCATAGTGCGGCTGGAAGGGTTAGGTCAATTGAAAAATTCAAAGCACTCGTCGGGGATCGAATCCGCTACTTTCCGACTTGTAGCATAGTGCCTCAACCAGCTCTTCTACCGCGTTCCTCAAACGATGAGATACAAGCTCTGAAATTACCCAATTTCTAGTTACCATATCAACAAAGTTTTGATCATTAATATGCGCGTGTTATACGTGGGAGACGGCGTTAAACATCGGCTTCGACCTATCGTTCTAAAACATTTAGGACTGCAAAGAACACAGAAGAAAGCTGGAGAAGTTAATAGGTAGAAAACTTATGTAATAAATGGCGGGGCTTTGTCTCTTCTCATTGTTACCTTGGTACCCGATGGATATGACACTGGGTGGGCCCCAAGGACGGTCTGGACGCTGTAGTTGAGAGAAAAACTTACACTGCCAGGAATCGAACCTGAGCCGTCCAATCCGTCGCAATAACGACTTAACTATCCCGAATTCATAATTGGAAAGATAAAAGGTTTAATTTTCCCATGTCTTCTTAGTTTTCACAACTATTAATTCAGTGCTTTCACGCTGTATATTTTAAGGAAAGCAAACGCCATCGTACGTGTATATACTACTATTTACAGCAGTAAATTCTATTTCTGACAGTGATCTTGTGAAATGGGCCCTTTGTCAACGCTGCATTGCGCCTCCAGGTCTGGAGGGAGGTGCAAGTACGAATATATTGGCAACCACTGACAGATAGCCAAAACAGTTCACTTCAGAATTTGGATGGGGTCAAGGGTTAACAACTCGCCGCGAGCCTTGGATTTGAACGGACCAGTGTGAGCACAGGGGGCGAACTTACCAAATAGCTGAGCTACCGTTAGCTCCTCACGAAGGGTTTAGTTCCTTTAAAGTCACTTTTATAACTGCCAGAAGATGGCGTTCATTTCGGACAGCAATAGCGTTCATACATAATAACGGAAACTGATAATTTTGCGAGCTATCTCGTAAGTAGAATGTAAAGTACTGACAGCTGATACTCACCCTGTCAATGTAATATTGTGTTTTGCCATCAAATGCGTCTTGTACTTTCTTGTACATTGTCCTGTACCTGTCGGGGTCCGGAGAAATTACGGAAAAGTCGTCGGAGTTCCGTTCAATAACAGTCTTGCCAGCTTGAACTGAAACACAGCAGACAAATTCCTCAGATAAATGAGACAATTCAAGAAATGTGTTCTGTCATGGTCTTCATGAAATAATATTGTGACGTGATTACTTAAACATTGTAAGTTACGTGGTAACGACTCGATAAACGAGAGAGCCATCACCAGGCAAGGCTTCTAACAATAAATATTCTTCTGGTTCTATGCTCACATCCGCTCTGGATGGCAGGTGGCTCGCCAAGTCATGGCCACAACGAAATCTCAAATGCAGGATGGCCATCTCTATCATTGGCTGTCAGTGAAGGTTAGGTTGGCAGGGGCGCTTGAGAAGTGCATGCAGGAGTTGGAGAGGAAGAGACCACTCGGTAGACCTAGGCATAGATTGCAAGATAATAATAAAACAACTCTTAAATGAAAAGGGCTTGAGAATGTGAATTGAATTAATTTGGTTCAGCACATGTTTGACTGTTATGGATACGGTAATGAACATTTGGTTGCATATAGTGCGGGAAATTTCTTGACTAGCTGAGCAGTTGTCAGCTTCTGAAAGACTCTACTAAATGCGACAAGGTTGTAATGCGAAAACCGAATTCATAGCAACACAAACGAGAAGTCGAAGAGAATGAATTGGGGACGTGAACGGGAGATATTTGGAAATGAAGAAGTAGAACAATATAGTGGAGTCGGAAGGTTCCCAGAAAGATCGGTTCTCCCCTGTTGTATTTCATTTTCTCACGCATGAAGAGTGTTCTTCTCTGAGCCTAGCCCTGCCTGGTGATTGCTTTTTTTTTTTTTTCTTATTTTTGGCTTCCATTTCGGCTCTGAAATTGGAGGTAGTAAGTTTATCCGAAACATAGATCAGTTTATACCACCATTCCGCACAAGATAATACTCTTCAGTACTGGTCGTTTCCTGCGTTTGGACGTACCGTGGTACGGGAAGGTGTCCAGCTCGACGAAGTAGTGCCTACGCTCGTTCATGTCGTATTCCTTGCCTAGGTGATTGTACTTGGGGCCCAGGAAGACCTTCACGTAAACATCGGTCGCCTTCTCGCTGGTCATCTCGAGCTTGTAGGTGAAGGGCTTGTGGTTAAGACGCCACTGACGAACGCCGATGTCCACTTTCGGGATGTCGTCTGTCTTCACGTACACGGCGTTGTCCAGACTGAACTCAAAGGGCTCGAAGTAAGTGTAAAGCTTGCCAACGTCCAAGTTTTCCACCTTAACTCCTTCGAAGCCGAGCTGAAGCCAGAAATTCAACATATCATTATGTTTTGAAGTATATTCTATGTCTAAATACGTGTATGTCTGAGGGTGCATCATTAGCAGAACATTATGAAATTGCTAGACTGTATTTTGAGGAGACACGGCTGTGCCTATGAAGTATACTTTGCTCTGGGTTGTAACGCGGTGTAGTTCGGAGACAGATAGTCGTTTCGGAGAAACAGCGACTTAGGCCGCACCATAACTCAAGCGGTTATTCGCTGGCTTCCCACCGCGGCGGCCCGGTTTCGATCCCGGGTCTGATCAAGTGGAATTTGTGGTGGACAAAGTGGCGCTGGGGCGCGTTTTCTCCGAGTACTTCGGTTTCCCCTGCCAATCTTCATTCCACCAAATTCTCCATCATCATTATCACCAGGGGTAGGTACAATAGGCCAATCAGAGGCCGCCGTGCCGAGTGGATCCAGCTGGATTTCACCCCCACTAAGCGAAACATATCGACTTCGTCTTCAAGCTCAAAAAGTATGGCAAACGAGAAACCAGAAGGAGGCGGGAAATTGAGACCTGACAATTTCTTATTTGGTTTATTTCTCTACCCTGAAGATGGAGGCGATGTATTTCTCTTAAATGTTAGTCTGACTCTGAGCTACGCGGCGTTACAACTCAGAAGACCGCAGTCTTAATGGGAACCCAAGTCGCCTGCCCGGGCTTCTTGTTGAACACCCCCTAAGTTGCATGTTGCAAGAAGTCAGAGACGGGCGGTTGAGTTTTTAGGTTTTGACAGGGGTGAAGATAACAACTTGTGAACTTCTGAGTTATGTATGATACTGTGACGTATTTGCGCTATGCAAATGCGGTGACGTAACAGCATCGGAGCGTTGCCGCTGCTACGGTAACAAGCCTGTCAACACTCCGCCCCCTCCCCCGCGGTGACATAACAACACTTTCCACTGTGACGTAACAGGGGACAACGCTGGTAACACGAGGCAACAGGGAAGGCATAAAAAACCAGCTGAGCTGTATGTGAGCAGAGTGTATGATCAGGAGTGACACAGTGTGGATTGTGAAGTCACCGAAATTAGTTGCATTCTAGCATTCGCCGGAGTGAATGGAAGCAGGAGAAGTATTTGTGATACTGCCGATGGCAGTAGTTGTGAGATTGTAAATTGTGTAAATGTAAGAGCGGATGTGCAATAAATTCGCTAGATTCAATACGGCGTAAGGTTATTTGTCGCGTGACACATACCCGACACGTGACAATACGTTAGAACCAAGCAGGATGGCTCAAGCGATGACGCCTCTGACTTGTTCTCGGGAGTTGACTGTTGCTCTGCCGGGACACTGTCTATCCTGGTAGGTTTTCTATAGTTTTAGCCAATCCCTCCAGACAGTTGTCGAGGTAATACCTCTAATTATACAACCTCCGCTTCATTTAATATAGCTTTCAGTTTCATTATTTTTCGGATCTTCGTCAATGCTGTTATATAAATAATCGGTTCTCGCGCAAAACTTTCCAATGACCATATTTTAAAATTAAAAACACGTGCAGACTGCAAATGAGGTCGCTATTATTTTATAGTTTAAAGAAAAGCATGATGAAAACATGGTCACCTCAGTTTCGAGCGGCTCACCAAGCGGGAACACGCTCACTGAGCTTGCTTCCACATCTATCCGAGGAAGAATTCACAAGAAATTAATGTGAAGGCTCTCGCCCGCGTAACACAGAGCTACAACACTGCGTTAAAGAAGTCAGTGGCTTTGCAGAAAATAAGAGGAAAATTCGTCTCAAAGCTGGGAAATGATTTTCGTTACTTATTAGCCACGAAAGTAGCTGCTGGCCGTAATTGAGAATCTCTGCTGTAAACCATACGTAAACGAAGATAAATAGCTACCCGGAAGTTGAAGGCAGGAAATTGCTCCGAAACATCGGGAAATATTTCTTTGACTACACGGTGTCACATTCTAGAAGGGAGAAATTTTCAAACACGTTAAAGCCTTTTGAGTTATTGTACCATGTTGTCTCTAGGTGGTTACTAACTTCTCGGCAAAATGTACTAGCTGAAGATGGGGACAGTGCATTCATTTGAAACGTTGCTACGAACATACCAGGAGATGTGATGATTCTCTTCACTAATATCCTGAAGATGGAGGCAGTATATTTTTCTGAAACGTTTGTACTCACCTACCAGACTACATAAAAGACCACAGGCTGAGTTGTCCTGGAGTACTGTGTCCACCCTGTGTTTGTCTTCCTGATAGGATCCTTAGACAGGACTGAGACTGAATACATTGCCGAGCTTATTCTATCGGACTCGTCCCAAGTTTCATTATAGTCATTGCTTGTGGATGTCATACAGCATCTGTTCACCAACTGCCCTTTTACCAGTGACAACGCTCACCTGTTCACGTGAACAGAAGTGAAAACGCTCACCTGTTCACTTGATCAGAAGTGACAACGTGAACAGAAGTGACAACGCTCACCCGTTGATGCCAACAGAAGTGACAATGCTCACCTGTTCACGCGAACAGTTGTGTCAACGCTCACCTGTTCACGTGAACAGAAGTGCCAACGCTCAGCTGTTCACTTGATCAGAAGTGACAACGCTCACCGTTCATGCCAACAGAAGTGACAATGCTCACTTGTTCACGCGAACAGTTGTGACAACGCTCACATGTTCACGCGAACAGAAGTGAAAACGCTCACCTGTTCACTTGATCAGAAGTGACAACGTGAACAGAAGTGACAACGCTCACCCGTTGATGCCAACAGAAGTGACAATGCTCACCTGTTCACGCGAACAGTTGTGACAACGCTCACCTGTTCACGTGAACAGAAGTGACAACTCTCAGCTGTTCACTTGATCAGAAATTACAACGCTCACCCGTTCATGCCAACAGAAGTGACAATGCTCACTTGTTCGCGTTCACAGTAGTGACAACGCTAAGCTGTTCACTCACATTAGCGAAGACGCGCGAGCAGTATTGGCACCTGTCAACTGTTGGCGCCAAAAATAAAGATAACACTCACCTGTTCGTGCGTGTAGTGAGGCAGCCTGTCATAATATTTCTGGAAGAAGTGGTCCATGCGCTTGAACACCTGGTAGTAGACGGGATCCCTCAGGACGGTGTCAGGGTGCTCCAGGGCGCTGGGTGGGAGCTGCGACAGACAGACAGATAATATCATGGCGCACACTATCCACATCTATTTGCTCAGGAAATATATCTGAAGCTCCTTTTTCTGTGAATTAATTTTCACCCATTTTTTTTGTCTCCATATCTTGTACTTCTAAGAGTGCCGAATTGTAACTTGACCCCTTTAACTTCTAAGCCGCGCCATAGAACTACATTCTAAAACACCAAGGCAGAGTTGCAAAGAAAACCCCATGTGAAAGACCGTAATTTCCCCTAAAAAGCGGCATATCGCACATGGTGCCATCTGTTTGTAGAAACGCTATACTAATTGGTTAACAGCAAGGCGATCACTTCGGCTGTGGCGGTCTTAATGCTAATGCCCGTAGCCAATCTAAAGGACGTATGAAAAGATTTACGCAAAGTTTTATTATACTTTTATTTAACAACGGTGTTTCAACTGTTTCTTTTACGTAGCATCAAATGAGAAATGATACGATTATTATGAATGTGTATTTGGAAAATACTCGAGAGAGGAATGGTGTCATATATATAAATGTACCATTAACACCGTGGAGATGAGCCCTTTTTCAGAAGCAGCCTGTTGTGCAGCTACTAAAGAAACTTCTCAATATTTTTTTGAACCCGAAGGTTCATTACCATGTTCACAAGAGCTCTCCACTGTTTCCTATCCTGAACCAGATTCGTCCAGTCCATACCACCCCATCCCACCCCACGTTAGGATATCACTGCTTGCACTCTAAACCCATATGTGGGGTCAAAGTACCTTAGTTCGTGGTAAACACTTGTTCTTTGCTTTCAACTGTTCTCCGTAGCACTGAGTAAGTAGCCAACTAATCCCATGGAGCAGCGTCTAGTGAAGGAATTCTCAGCGCTTTATGGAACCCAGAAATTTAATTTCCTTTGCTCAAAAGTGCCTGCCGTTTCTTTAGGATAAATTGAATGAATACACTCCAAAACCCCCCATCTATTTCCTTAAGATCAATTTTAACAATATCCTGATGTCAATTTCTGGGTCTTCAAGTGGGCTGTTTCGTTCAGGTTTTCCTGCCAGAACATTGTATGCATTTCTCTTTCTTAGAGTGTTACATGCCCCGCCCATGTGATTCTCCTTGATCTTATTACTCTAACAATATTTAGTGAAGGATACTCCTCATTATGTTATTTCCTCTATTCTCGTCTTACCTTTGTACTTTTATATATTCTAAAGGCAAACTGCACGCCTATAGCACGGAAAGTTCCCCCCTTCCGGAGATGTGGAACATTTATTTTGCGGTATGACGCTCTACATTCGCTGGGAAACTGCGTGTGCTACACAGTTAGTTCAAGCAGTTCTCAACAGATGGCTGTATGTGTTTCGTACTTACCCCAAGAGTGTGTTGTGGGTCCGTAACCCAGCCGATCATCTTAAGGTAGAGGTGCATCAGGGACCCGTACATATAGTAGTTGGGGGAGTTTTTGCTGCCCCCCATCATGAGGCCCAGATACTCCAGCCCATGGTCACCATCATACAGGTTGAGAGGATTCATGTTTACCTGAGGACATATGTTTGTGTAAGATTCTTATTATACAACTAGTTTTCTTTGGTATTAGATAAGTACTGAATTCCACCCTGAAAATGGAGGCATTATGTCCCTTCGTATCCATCCCGGGTCTGGTCAAGTGGGATTTGTGGAGAACAAAGTGGCGCTGGGACGGGGTTTCTCCGAGTACTTCGGTTTCCCCTGCCAATCTTCATTCCACCGAATTTACCATCATCATACTCACCCAGGGTAGGTACAATAGGCCAATCAGTGGCCGCCGTGACGAGTGGACCCAGCTGGACTGCACCCCCCACTAGCAAATTTTTATTTTTTTTTTTAATTTGCCACATTTCAAAGGATAAATTAACTATATTTATGTTTTGCTTCATGAAGGGGTATTTACGGTTTATACTCAATAAGATATGAAATACAAGTTCTTATATTTTGACATAGTTTCAAATGGATTACTCTATATTATATATTTAATCATGTGGGTTATTAGCTTATCTTACGGGGCTGTCAGTATCTAGAGTACATAATTGTTAAACGATTAATTTGAAAGGATTTGGGAGGAAGCGGTTGTGGCCTAATCGAGGCACTATCCCGGAATTTGGAGGGAGTGAGGAAAACCACGGAAATCCTCAGTGAGGATAGCCAGTGTTCTGGCCGATAATCGAACCAATCATTCTTCGAGTACTGGTATAGCCACCCTGCTCTGTACGGCGCAGTGTTGTGTCAACGTGACGGAGCTGCTGGCTGATTACTTACATCATACACTTTGCCGCTGTCAATGGCGTCCAAGATCCTCCTTTCATAGTTCTTGACTTCGGTGATGTAGTATTTGCCGAAGTTAGTGACCGTCATGCCTTTGGGTCGTGGTGGCATCTCCTGGCCGTTGTGATACATCATCTTCGGATAGAATCCGGTCTGTAACCAGACGTGTTCGGGTGAAGACAGTTGGCAAGCGTGGAGGATTCTACCATAATACTTATTGTTTGCATTCTGTTGTTTATCATGAAGGGCACTAATTTGGCAGTCAACGCAATAAACTCTGAATAAATAAAACTAATATTAATATGTTAATATTTGCTTCTCTTATACCACTACATGTTTCGATCAAAGCGATTATTTTCAGGAGGTTTACGTGAATATTTAAAACTAAACTCCGTGGCCTATAGTCCGCATGCGAACTATACCGACCGAGCGACCGTCGCTTGTCGGTGAAGTTAGTGCCAACTTTTGCCGATAGAGGGTGGCGCGTGGTCAGTGCAACGGATCCCCACTGCCGTTAATCTCGATTTTCTAGATCGGAGCTGCTACTTCATTCGAGTAGCTCCTCAGTTATCCTCACGAGGCTAAGTGGACCCCATTCCAGACCCTCTACTTCTCAGAAAATCTGGTAGCGCCGGGAATCGAACCCGGTACCTCTGGATCTGTAGCCAGGAGTACCTGGTTTTCTTGAATATATACCGTCATTATTGAATTGATTGACTAATATCGATCATCTATTCTTTTTTACAGCAAAAATTCCACAAAAACGCCGATGTTCTACCCTTACAGTACACAAAACTGTATAGAGCTGATAAGTCACAGCACATCTTTAAAGGCGTAAGTAAGCGACCCGCATTACAGCACGTAACTACAACTCTCATAACCCGCATGCAAAAATAGTAACTTTTACATTATTCACATTATTGTATTACGGAACCATGTTAAACAAACAATTCAATAACAGTGGTATGTATTGTTACATGTACACCAATTGCTAGGCAACGTGCTGGTAAACTAGTTCCCGCGAAGACAAATCCTTGATAGGGTCCGTTGCTAGGTTACGCAACAATAGAGGAGGTTGTGCTTTCAATGTCGTCCGCGCCAAGCAACAGTAGAACAACGGTGTTTTGCAATCCGTTTCTAAGCAAAGAAAATGTAAACACGTCTATAATAATAGGTGTTTTCCGTCGTGTCGGGCAGAGTGCTGATAAGAGAAGTGAATTTAGATGCCAGTTCAGGACAGTTCAGGACAGTTACGAGAAGTGCTCGTAGTAGCGGCAGAGGCACGCGAACAGATCGAATTGGAACTGAAACAGAGGAGTACAGGAGGTCGGCCTGTGAAGTCTTAACATGTGATTAGAAGTCTTTATTTATGGGTAATATTTTGAGTGTGTTATTCAGTGAGACTGTTACAGCTCCCCTGTTATAAACCCGTGAAGATTAGTGCAGATAGACTGAAGAGATTAGTGTAGATTGGTTGTACATTGTGTAAACCAGCAATAATGTAATAATTAATTGTAGTTACGACCTGTAGGTTATTAATAAATCCAATTACCAATCCGGACCCCGTCTTTAGTCACGATACACGCGACAGTATCCGTATAAACCATCAGAAAATGTTCAGTTTGATCGAAAACTGTCCTGATATGTGTAATAAAAACAAATAACGCAATGTCAGTTTTATTTATACGTAGATTGTTGTGTTGACAGCCAGTTAGTGTCCCCCTCTACCGCAATATCTGCTCGTAGTACTTCTTCTCGGATGGCAGTTGTGCTTTGTGGAACAACGGCTCTTCAAACTTTCGTGCTAATTGTGTCTTCGGCCGCGTCATAGCTCAAGCGGTTAATCGCTGGCTTCCCACCGCGGCGGCCCGGGTTCGATCCCTGGTCTGGTCAAGTGGGATTTGTGGTGGACAAAGTGGCGCTGGGGCAGGTTTTCTCCGAGTACTTTGGTTTCACCTGCCAATCTTCATTCCACAAATTGCTCCACAATCACCCTCACCTATCATCTGGGGCTGGTACAATAGGCCAGAAGTGGCCGCAGTACAAGGGACTTAGTCCCACCCCACCAGCAATAAAAAAATTATATGTTCGCTGTACAGATATTACGTTGTCTGGGGCTCGTGTAAAGTACGCAGCCTCTGAGAAGCTGGGTCCGTTTCAATCATAAGATGTAATGGGGCAAAATCCATTGGTCGAGATTAGGCCCTTCCAGTGGGCCCTCCTGAGAAGTGTTCTGTCCCTTCCCATACAACTGATAACGGAAACAGATCTAGCTTGTGAAACACTGCGCATTTTAAATATATCCCAGACGACGGACAGTGCCGGTCATGATATCTGCATACTCGTAGTTGCAGAATAATATTTTAGTTTTGAGGGGCTCGGGTTGCCGGAGATTGATATTGTGATCCCCTCCCCCATCCGGGTAATAGCATGCTGCCCCCGCGAGGCCACAGCCACACTGTGGACGTGTAGTTATTTGCTTATTAATAATTTCCTGTTTTCCTAGCGAATGGAAGATGACAATTTTACGTATCTTTGCAAGGGGAGATTTTCCATCCGATACGAGATGAATCAGAGGCTATGAATATCTCGCCTCGAGCCAGAGTCCACATTTAATTAACTTCGGGTAGGGAGGGGCATTGTACGACCTTGTTAGTAGCTAAACTATATAGCGTCGAATGACGCTATATAGTTCCAATGAATTGGAATGGGTTAGAAAGTAGCTGGTCATGGCTTTATCAAGGTACTCTCCCGGAATTTGTCTTTAGGGACCGAGGAAAACTATGCAAACTTCATTCGCCGGCCTGGGTTCGAACCGAGCACATCCCGAATACGTTTATAGGGTGTTACCGCTACACCAATCCGTCCAGTGTTTGTCGTAATATGTGTCGGTGTCGTTTCCAAGGAAACCAAATGCAAAACTCCGTTTAGTTATGAGTAGATACAGAAGATGACAGCAGTACTCGTAAACATGTGCTTCAGTCAGTATTACAGTGTCGATGTTTGCCCAGGAAACGTACCTGTAAACTATTATTACCGTTATTGTGTGAGGCTGTCTTCTAAGTACCTTTCAGGTTCACAGCCGGGAGTGTTCTGCTGTACTGTGTTAAGAGTAGACCAAGGAGGGGTGTGTATGCAGACTGTGGCTAGAAGCGGGCACTGTCGAGTGCAAAGAGTATTCCGCTGATGGACGCTAGCTCCTTCTAAGGGACCCAACAGAGTAGGTATCTCCCCCCTCACCTGAGGACGGAAACAGATCTGGTTTCCGAAACATTGTGTTTTCTGGTTGTTAGAACACCAGACGATGGACACGGTCCGAAAACCCAGTAATTCTCAGTGTTACAATCGTCAGAACCCATTGGAATCTACAAGTATTCCACTAGTGTAATGAAACAGACAAACTTGTTCATACCGAAAAATAAGTTACAGATATAACAGTACCTTTATGGGCTTCGTGTAGACGAAAGGTTCAACGTCGGGCATATTATGTGACAGCCTGTTCAGGAAGTAGTTGTTGTACAACATTTTCTGCGTGTAGTAGAATTGTCGGCCCCAGTGGTCGATGTGATGACCGTACAGTGTGAAGTTGAACCATGTGGGGTACAGATGTCCGTAGTGCATGACGAATGTGCTGAGGCCGGGGTCTTCTGTGAAGTAGGACAGCTTCTGGTCCATGTTCGTCCACGTTTGATTGACTGTGATGATGTGTGTGTGGTGATTGGGGTCGTCAACATCTGCAGACAGAGCATCATACACCAATTCGTTTGGACTACAGAACTACTTGTCATTTCTAAACGCGCTTTCTTGTGCTTTGACAACAGACTTATTTGTCTTCCCTGCTCATACCCTCTTGTGGAGGCTAGTACCCGTGATTCGCGGTCAGTTAGGCTACTGAAGCAACTGCAGAGATAATTGTACATAGACAGAGATGGCTGTAGGCGACAAATCAGTGGTCTTGGCAGAGTTAAAGATACTATGACTCTGTTTGTCCAGAACTGCTGGTCTCGCAGGCAAGCGCTAAATGGGAAACGTGGTAAATAGGTGGCGTAGCTAACGTTGATTTTTTTTGTGATATTATGAGTAACGCGTCCATACATTACTATAGGCCGATCATCGAATCATCTTTAGGTGGCCGCAGGTACTCGCTTTTGTGCTCGGCGATTAATAGAGAGAGAAAAAGTAAATGTCCAGATGCTGTGCCAATGAATTAATATAATTTACGACTTAGAGAAAACTTCCAGAACGTCGTATATGTGAAATATTCCCCGGATATGGACAACATCCAACATAATTGACAAAATGTGGAGGTAATTTTGTCTTAAGCATTTTTAGAGGTACATCATACCATAAGCAGGCCATTTTTACGGAAGCAAATGCTGTGTGTTCAAAAGTGACTTTGGCGAGGACCAGCGGCAATTGTAAACGACAGATCCGCCCTCTCGTCAGAGAGAGCGCCCCACATCAACAAACCCGCAACTGCCTGACAGTAATAAAAATCTGGTCGTAAGCCCCAGATGGGTGCTTTATTCCAAGACAGACTGGCCGACTGACCGTCGGTCGTAATACTCGTATAAGACTCAGACTGGGAGTTCATTTGTCATTTGGAAGTCAATCCTTGAAGAGAAGATTAAGAGATTGGTGTGAAATGACCGCCAGCCTGGTTAATTGTAAGGGAGTCTGTGATGAGAAGACTTAGCACAGAAGCTGAAACTCTACACCGTTAGAAGCCGTTACCAGGAAACGACTAGTGAAGACTGTAACAGACTGAGAACACTTAGTATGTCTGCGATAATAATTTATGTAGTGTAGTAACGAGTTGTATAAGTGGCCAATAAATCTATTCACCAATCCAAACCCCGTCTGTAGTCACACATACTACGTGACAGCACCCAAGCATTACTTCCCGACTGTCCCATGAATCGGCGTGTGCGAAGCGGCCGCCTTACCCTTCATCCTGTACTTCTCGGCCATCTGAATGACGTCACTCTTCGCGAAGAAGAATGGATACACTTCGTATGGAGGAGGCAACAGGATGTCCTTCGTGTCTTCGCGATGCCTGATAGCGACGCTGATGGTGTAATAGAACATCTTGGGGTTCACCTTGCCTTTCGCCCATAAGGCCGTCTGCAACAGTAACCAGAAACTGCCCTTCATTGCTGTTCAGCTGGTGTGAGCACTGCTTCAGAAGTCTGTGATTCAAGGAAGTCGTAATTACAATATTCTGGATTTCCTCCTAGAGGTAGGCAAACTCAGCAGTCTCTAACTGGAGTCAGTTGTAATGCATTGTTAAGGGTGCCTGATGTGGAGCTCATGTTTTCTTGCGCCCTTTTTTCTATCTGTGACTTACATTAGTGTCTGTATTTCGTATACAATTTGGAATAGGAGACTCGCTAATACTTTTCAGGAAATTTGGATTTTCAATTATACTAATTCATAACAAAATCTACTTTACATAAGGACATAAATGGACTTTGCCTATATGCCTCATAAAGCGTTTCATAGATTTGTTGCAATCCGATATTGTGCATTGTTGTGCTGTTGGATTACGAGTGTACTCGTTTCAGCTGATGCATTTTGTGTTTTGTTGGAACACCGCCTGTAGACAGGTCGCGAGTAAACCTCCGCTTATTAAATATGAAAGAACGCCTTTGGGAGTTTTGTGTATTACAGTATGGCATACACCATCTGCAACCCTCTTACTTATCAGGAAGTCTGATATTTTGACGTGCTGTTAGCTTTTCAGGAAGTTTTGCATTGTTTTACCTGTTAGATTTCAGAAAATGTCATACTGTTGTGACGTGTTGATAGTCTTCAGGAAGTGTTGCATTGTTGTGACATGTCACAAGGTTTCTGACCATATAAATGTGACTGTTAAATTTCAGATGAGTGTTTATTATTGTGCCGTTACCTAACTAAGGACGATCTACAGATGTACTGTCTCCAGTACCTTCAGAAAGGCATATTTATCATATTCATGTTATTTTATAGGTGGTATTACAAATCTTACCTTGTAGAACGTATCGTAGTCCTTGGCGAAATAGAAGATGTCGAATAGAGCAATAGTTAGCTTCCAGTGGGGCTTCTTGTACAAGGAGAAGGGCTCCCATTTGGACACCGTGCCAGTCTCCCACAACGACATGAACTTCCACACCACTTTTGGATCCTGAAACGGAGGTCATGGCTTCAGTCCTTGTGCAGTTTAGTTACAGACAATATCAATCATCACTTTCATATCAGGAGATATTTACTTTGAATTGGCATGAGAAGCCGTTAAATTAATTACGAACAAATTGTTTTGATAATTTGAATATACTCTGTCTTGTCTTTTACTTGTATATGTTTTATTGTTGCGTCAGCAGTTAGGATCACTCTCGAAGTGTAGAGTTTATAGCAGTTGAGAGGAGTTTCTGCAAATTCATATCAATTAAGGCACTCTAAACTGAAATATATGGAAGCACTCTCTGACAGTCGTCAAGATTTCGAGAAGTTTCACACTTAACATATGGCGTGCCAACTTCGCGAATCTGAGCATTGCTTGAGAAAATAAATATTTGCAGTGGAATTGAAGTTTATTGCAGTAGTCACAAGAACCCGCTATTGGACTCTAAGCAAGACGAATCCAGTCCTCACAGTCACACTCTTTTTCCCTGGGATCAATTTTAGTATTATCCTCCCATCTACACTTAAGATTCCCCGAGTGATTTCTTCCCATCAAATATTCTGAAGTAAATTTTTCATTTGTTTTCGTACTAAATTTCCTGTCATTTACTCGCGTCGCATTAAAATATTTTTAAAGGAAATTGTAAAAGTAAAAAAATAAAGTTAACACTGTACCAGGTTGTGAGACGTTGAGGCTCCCACACTATCTAGACAATCGGCTCAAAGATGGCGGTAAGGTTGTCAGCCTTACTCGCCGGCCGCGCTTTACTCCCCAGGAAAATTATTTAATTAATTCCTGGTACTCATTTCTGTTAGAGGCGGAGTAAACCCCAGGGCCTAGTGCGGCTGAAAAAAATGCAATGACCTCATCGGGACTTGAACCCGCGACCTTCCGGCTTGTAGCATAGCCCCTCAACCAACTATGCTACCGCTGAAAGAATATACAACACTCATGGAGCTGAGCCCTTCTTGAGAAGCCGCCAATTATGCAGCTACTCAAGAACTTCCCAGCATTTTATGAAACCGGAAGGTTCATTACCGTGTTCAGAAGAGCCCTCCACTAGTCTCTATCCTGAGCCAGATTAATCCAATCCATACCATCCCATCCTATCTCTCTTAGAACCATTTTAATATTGTTCACCTACCCACACCTTGGTCTTCCCAGTGGTTTCTTTCCTTCTGGCTATCCCACCAATATCGTATACGCATTCCTCGTCTCCCCCATTCGTGCTACATGCCATGTCCATCTCATCCTCCTTGACTTGATCATTCTTATTATAGTTGGAGAAGAGTACAAATTATGAAGCTTCTCATTATGCAGTTTTCTCCAACCTGTCACTTCATCTCTCTTCGGTCCAAATATTCTCCTCAACACCCTGTTCTCAAACACCCTCAGTCTATGTTCCTCCCTTAATGTCAGAAACCAAGTTTCGCACCCATACAGAACCATAGACAAAATTATAATTTTGTATATTCTAATTTTTGTGTTTTTGGACGGCAGACGAGAAGACGAAATGTTCTGGAGTGAATGGTAGCAAGCATTACTCGAGTTCAGTCTCATCTTCATTTTCTTCTGAATCAAATTTTATTGGAATGGTGTACATCAGAGAGAGATGTACTGGCACAGAAGGTGGCTGTTCTTACCTCGTATTTATCGATATTTTCCTTCGGGTTGTAGTTCAGCCCCTCTTCCATTTGATCCTTGAACAAGTTGGGTTGCAGAATCCCGTACAGCAGGCGCAGGATGTTCCTCTGCTTCTGGAGGAACGTCTTGTCCGCTGTAACAATATATGTTCATGTTTTCTTTGTGGTCTGTATGTTCAGGGCCACACTGTTACAATTTCTACCCAAGAATTGACGCCTGAGTAATGTTTTGCTGTCTCTGCGTGAACGACCAGAGCGTATGAAGTCCGCCTATGAGCACCAGGAACTCAGTCTGTCCGTATGTCGCGCCATGAAAATATCAGCAGTCAGAATGTTCGCGCCTGTTCTTTGCACCGTGTTGTAACCTTGTTTTCGGAAGTTTCATATGCAGCTCTCCCAATGTTAACATCATAATCTCATTCCAGTGCAGTCCTCCCAAAGTTAATATCAAAATGAATTCTAACAATAGGCATTAAAAGCTCAGCTCAACTTCTTACGTCTTCTCGTAACAAAATCCACATCCTAACCCTCTACCTTATTCACTTCCAAACGCTTTACCCTTCCTCAAACGTACCTCTAGCAGAAGGACGAGCGGGCATTACCTGGGAACCTTCAAAGTCGGAACAATTTCTGTCCTCCCCCTTAAGTGTAGTTTCGCTCACCCCTCCCTTTCAATTCTCAGGTGGACAGATGTGAAGGAATCATGAATCGGAAAGTCCCCGCGTCCCGCCACCTCAACACAGGCATTTTTCGTCTTCCTGTCCTCAAACAAACGCTGAGATTGTTCCTAAAATCTGAATTGCTACTGCTCGCGTCCCATGCAGCCCTCCCAGTTAAAATCCTTCAAACCGAAATTCCCGAAGTTATTTCTACAAATTGTGCCCTTTTTTTAATCAGAGAACCAACATTGAACGGTTTATGTCGGCAGTGGTCCATGAAACTTCCCGTCTAACCGTAATCAGCTAATTTGTTCATGAAAACCCAGGCTAGTTGGCTTTGCTGAGATCCTGGATAACATCCATTCTGGCAGCTGTCTTACTATGCCGTATGCTTGCTATCCCCTCCCCTTGTATCCTGTAGGTGCGAATCAGTGACGATCTTCCCCACGCCAGAGATGATGGTTTGCCGCTCACAATGCTCACCACGGTGACTTATGTTCCTAACGTGAATTACCAGATTTTTTTCCTAAACATCCAGGCTAACGAACACTACTTAGGTCCTAAGTACTAACACTACTTAGGTCCTAAGTACTAACACTACTTAGGTCCTAAGTACTAACACTACTTAGGTCCTAAACTAAGTACCATGTCCTCGGTCTGGTATGTTCCCTGTTCTCTCCATAGTGTTATGTGGGTTGCATACACGACTGGTTATCCGATTGATGGTCAAAAGCCCATGGTACCAAATACCTGCATTTAACATTTCTCATAATTTACCTATGAGAGTAGAGCTTAAGGTAAAGTTGTCACTAATTAAGCACTACGCCACCAAGACGTATGGGGAAGTGGATGTATAGATCCACGTTTCCCTAACCTCGGCAATTGATGAGTGGTCAGCTTCAGACTCCGGCCGCTCTACCTTCCGGGGAGAGAGACCCCTTTACCCATTGGATAGGAGGTTAGGTATGCCCCAAAGCCGGTCTAGACAACGTGGAGAAGAGAAAATTTTTGCCCCTACCGGGACTCCAACTCTGACTCCTCGGTCGTCCAGCCCGCAACCAGTCACTATACCGACTGAGCTATCCCGGCTCAAAACCTTAATATACCTGTGTGAAAAATACGATTTCCCAGTCGTAGCGGTAACTGTCCAGACTCGTCTTCATGACGTGCTCGGTTCGAACTTCTGTGGAGACACCGGCTACCTTGACTGAGGTTTATCGTTGTTTTCCTCAGTCTGGTCGTGTAAATGGTGAGTTAATATTTCGATTTGACTGAAGCTACTTCTTTCGAAATGGTTTCGAAATCGTCATTCATCTATCTTCTTACGGTGTCAATCTGCCTACCGACACCGAAGTAAAATACCCCCCCCCCACAGAAGAAATTACGACCTTCCTATTGCACGTTCATTATATGCACTTCATGTAGACATAGCATCATTAATGAGAAAAAAAATATGCTTTATTCCTGGTTGCCTGTAGAATTACTTAGTATTGCTAACAAGTGAAAATATTTGAGAAGCCTAGAAATCCGTTTCCGGGGCTTCAGTGACTCCGTACTCACCGATTTCCTTCTTCTCTATGTGGTGGTCAGCTAGGGAGGCGCAGGCCACGAGGGCCACGACAGTGAAGAATACGATACCAGTCCTCATGGTGGCCAGTGAAGTACACGAACTGGTGGGCGTCGTCATGGCTTTTATAGCGGCTTGAGGGTAAGCAGTGACCAGCTTATGTAACGCGAGACTCCTGCGTTGCCAGGCGTCGGCACGGGGTCACAGGAGCAAATTTACTTACAGGCTTATCAAGTGTACGGCTGACAATCTAAAGATGAAAGCATACACAACTATAACGACTGTCCTGTTCTGGGATCTGACCCCGTGTAGTCCTGTAAAAGCTCACAATATTTGAGACAAAAATGTGATCAGCCACCAGGCACGCTTACTCTTTGATCCTGAAAATGGAGGCAATACATTCTTCCGAAACGTCGCTTAACTTCTACCGGATTACACGGCGTCAACAGTCATATGTGTGAGAACCTCATATCCTACAAGACTATAATGTAGCTCAGTTTGTGGCCTCGTGGGTTGTGACACCATGTAGATTTGTTCGTAGGAACATACTGCATCCATCTTAAACCTCAAAGATTAAGCCAGTATGTCCTATCGAAACTTCGATAACCATGCACAAGATTAAACGGTGTCACAACCCACAAGACCACGACTAGAACACTCACCACCTTGAAAACCTGACGTAAAATATAAATGTAATGGTGCTGCTTGAGATTATGATAACACAGTGCGCCGATAGATCCATGCACGCGCTAGTTGCAGATAGTAATAATTCTTCTTGTAGGTGAAACTGCCAGCAACAGTCGCCCTGTCCTCAGTTGTTATCATGTTTGTGAAGATTTTCTGTTAATAACAGTTTCTTGAAAGTTGCTTGGAATATGAGTCTACTTTTGTAGGGTTCGTAAACTCTGCCTCTCGCTCTAACGGAAGAACAAAATGGAGGGTGGAGAATATATTTGTTTGTAACCAGAGATTTGGAAAACTGCGTAATTTGTAATCTCTGTCTCTTATGACAGTAATTTTATGCAGGAGGAAGAGATGTAAAGAGCCTCTAAATCCTGGTGCTGAAATATAAATGCATACACAATTTCGGTCGGGCAACTGCAAGTGAGGCGCCACCTGCAAGCCTGACTCGAATATGGGAATATGGCTCTGAGAGAAATATGATATATTGTGTCTAAAATATCTTTGACGTTACGCAGTGCTGTATCTCGTTACGTCATCATACAACGTTATTATGTTCTACTTTGAACACAGGATAGGAACCCAAACCACCGTACCGAAGGTTTCGTTAAATACTTACGACTTTTTCTTGTATGGACCGCATCTGTGGTCTGGTGGTCAGAATTCCTGACTATAGATTCAGAGGCTCCGGGTTCGATTCCCGGCGCTACCGTATTTTCTGAGAAGTAGTCGGTCTGGAACGAGGTCCACTCTTCCTAACGAGGATAATTGAGGAGCTATTTCAAGGAAATAGCGGCTCCGGTATAGAAAACCGAGATTAGCTGCCGTGGGGATCCGTTGCGCTGACCACGCGACACCCTCTATCCACTATTTTTGGCACTAACTTCGCCGACAAGCGGCGGTCGCTCGGTCGGTATAGTTCGCTTGCGGACTAAAACCACGGAGTTTGTTTGTTGCACAACAAAGTGTGATTTGCACTCAGAGATGTTCTGGACAGACAGTATGAGCATGTTTATTGAATTTAACTGGCTCAGGATATCGTCCACCTGTGCGCTCTTGTGTCAGTAGTTACGTAGGTTTGGACCGTTCGATTGTTTTCCTTTTTTTAACGACACTATATAAACTGTACTTATTTTACTGCGGTTAGTGACGTGGAGAGTTGACTGAATGATGAGTTCGTGGGGATCTTAGAGGGGAAACTGTTGCTAAATTCTTCAAATTACTGTCCCTGAACTCGTTCCAAGAGAAAAAGGGACATTCCTCTCTGTAGATTTCCCTGTAATGCACCGATATTCGAAGAGGGTGCATGTCCAACGGAAATCTACACATTCACCGGCGAGCTGTTTGTCTGAAATTGTAATTGATGTGTCTGGAGGAAGTTATATCGTGACTTAGTGGAGGTACCATCCTGGAATTTGTCTGGAGGGACTGAGGAAATCCTCAGTCATGAGAGCCGGTTCTCCACGTGACTGACTTTTATTTGGGCCGAGACACAGGCGGTCCTGACTGAGGCTTTTCATGGCTTTTCTCAGTTCTTTCAGAAAATTTCGGGTTTAATGTCTCTACTTAAGATAATACCGCTTTATTGCGCATCGTTCTGAGTTCATTACTCTCCATCCTACCGTTCCGATGTATATAGCCCGAGATAGCAACAACGCCGTTAAAAAACTATAGTAAGTAAGTATAATTATGAGGATAAGTCAATAAGTAAGTTACAAATGGATATAGAACTTAAACAAATAAGAATACTGACTTGAAAAATGCTTTTACTTCTCAACATAATCTCCCTGTACATTGAGGCACTTGTCCTTTCTTTTCACAAGCCCCTGAAAACCAGCAACATAAAGTTCTTTGGGCTGCTGTCGGAACCAGGCGTGTTGCTCTTGCATGACAACGCGCGTCCCCATACTGCCAACAAGACAAATGAGACGCTGTGAAATTTCAAGTGAGAAGTCCTCGAGCATCCTCCTCCGACCTTGCTCCAAGCGACTTCCATTTGTTCGGCCCTCTTAAACATCATCTGTCGGCTGAACATTTTCCTGACGATGAAGCTGTAGTAAGGGAAGTCACCGCCTGGTTCCGACAGCAGCCAAAATAATTTTATGCTGCTGTTTTTCAGGGGCTTGTGAAACGATGGGACAAGTGCCTTAATGTACAGGGAGATTATGCTGAGAAATAAAAGCATTTTTCAAATCAGTACTCTTATTTAAGTTCTATATCCATTTGTAACTTACTTATTGACTTACCTACGTACATACCGACTATCCTAAGTGAGGGTTTTGTAGTTTTATGTAGTACCTACAGGAAAATTTCGGGACTTTTCAAAGTATGCCACGGCCGCATTACTTTCAATTAATTATTTACTCATCTTGTGTATTCTATATCGAATTGAACGAGATAGAAAAATCGTCTTTAAAAATAAACGGAGAATCAGACATTTTATAAATTCGAAGCAGGGGTCAAGGTGTTGAGTGACATCAGATGGTGGAATGTTACTTATCTACCCGTCTAAAAACAACAAGCCATGGGTCAGCGTGGAGTGACACAAGTCGCCCTGGTAGGCTTCCATCCGCACGTACTGGCCGTCTACCCATAATTCCAGTTGTTTTTCTCCCTCAAACCTTCGCCCTTGAACTCTTCGAAATGAATGCATGAAAACTTGTATAGGGTGACGCTGATGGGTACGAGATTGGTGTTGGATTCGAACCACGGCGTTATATTGTCGACAGCCGACGACAGAGGTACTTGTTGGCAGATCCATCTACCGGCAGAATTAATACTACCTGCAACCAGCGCTCATAGCTTTATATTGAGGCGCTGTGTTAACAGCAATCTCACACAGGCATTATGATTTTATTGTATAGACGGACAATCAGAATCGTTCATTCTTAGCTAGGGGCACAGCTGGTCTCTTTGCTAGTGTCACGATGCTCAGGGCTCAGATTTTAACCTGTGTTTTTATGATTTACTTAACCCCACTCTCAGTAGCTCCGAATGCATGACTTCGAACGGTAGAGTGAGTGGTGAATAATGAATTGGAAAGGATTTGTAAGGGGCCGATCATGGATTAGTCGACGTATGGATTGACTGAGGAGAACAACGAAAAATCTCGGGATAGTTGTCGTCTGAGAAGAGGTTTGAAGCCGGGTCCTTTTGAATACGTAGCAGGAATGTTACCCACTATAACGCAACATGTTGTGCTAAACTTTAAAGGTTATAACACTGACATTAGTGAATGAAGGGTTACTCTTTTAATTTCTAAACAGATTGGATAAGAAGTTGATAATCTCATGTAGAAACTGTACCGCAGTTGTTGCATGTCGCTTTAACAGTTATGGCTCCCCTACGTAAAATTGTGGCACAGTTCAGATATTTGGAAATGACAAGACAAATCAAAATTTGTTTCAGGAGGAAATTAAGAGGAGATTGGATTCGGTTAATGTTTGCTACCATTCAGTCCAGAAGCTTTTGTCTTCTCTTCTGCTTTCTAAAACCGTAAAAATTAGAATATACAAGATTATAATTTTACCTTTAGATCTGTATTGGTGTGAAACTTGGTCTCTAATATTAAGGGGGAAAATAATTTGAGAACAGGGTGCTGAGGAGAATATTTGGACCGGAGAGAGATGAAATGACAGGAGGTTGGAGAAAACTGCACAATGAAGAGCTTCATAACTTGTATCTTTCTCCAAGTGTAATTAAAATGATCAAGTCAAGGAGGATGAGATGGTTAGAGCATGTAGCACGAATGGGGGAGAAGAGGAATGCATATAGGATATTGGTGGGAAGTCCGGAAGCAATACGACACTAGGAAGAGCAAGACGTAAGTGGGTATATAATACTGTCACGTATCCTGGTAACGCGTCAATAAATTAATGGGTTCCGGATTAGACGAAGTTGTTTATTGGATAAGTTGTTTACAATTTCAATTACTATCACTCAGAAATGACGTCTTATATGCTATACCACTTGGCTAGTATGTCGTCTTCTGGTTCTTAGCTGAGCTAGTTTCTTTTGCTCTCAGCTCTGCTCCGTTCGCCTCTGTTCTGTTCTCCGCTCTGGTCTGGCCTGGTCTCTTATATTTTACAGTCGGACGGACTAGAAAACACCTTCAAGGGTTCCGTGTCACGTGTTCTATGCGCAGGTCGCTAATGTATTCTTTGCCGCAGGAACTTCACGAGTTCTGTTTTTCACTTCCGTGGTGACGTCTGCTATGTATGCATTGTCGCGTGAACCTATTTCATTGTCACCTTGACAACGATACGGAACCGTGGATACCGAGCCGTTGCCTAACAATGGACTCCCGCTTTGACTCAGATATTCTGGCTTCTAGACGGTACGCCACAACATTAAAACGAATCTTGGAGAGATAAGATAAAATGGCATGGACTGGATTGATCTGGCATAGGTCAGGGGGCCAATGGAGAGCTCTTGTGAACACGGTAATTTGCTCT